CCTGAGCGTGTAATGTTAATTTTACCTGTGATCCTTTGAATAAATCAGCACTGTTTTGAAGTTACTTGGACTGTTTCGTCTCTCAGAGTTAGCAATGGTAAGAAGAACCAAAGTCCTTCAGTACCTTCTACTGTATGTCCTCCATTGTTATTGTGTCGGTTATTGACGACATCATGGCAGTGTAATGCAAAATATTTGGACAATCAAAGAAAACCAAACCATTAGTTAGTTATAAGTGCTAACTCACCTTAAACTGTATCATTAGTGTGAGAATGTCACATGTGATAAAGAGCAAAAGCATTTCTACCTTTCAAAGGGCAGATGTGTTCTGGGAAGCAGAATCTGTAAATGGTGTGCATTCTCATTGGTCATACTCAATAGGCACACTGAAGTTCAGCCCAGATGATATGCACCCACAGACAAACGTTTTATTTTATTTATGTGGTTACTAATTCGAAACAACATACAAGACCATAAGATCAATAAGTTTAAAAGTCATGGAAATATTACTGCACTTAACATCTGAATATAAAACCAGGAGTGGGCACAAACTCAACAAATACTGTCAGAGTTTCTAGTTACTTCCAGCTGAGGCACTGTTACAGAAGCATGCTTCGCCAAGCAGCTTGGCTTCAACCTTGGAAGACAAAAGCCACATTTGTACATTTCACTTCTACGGTTCAGTTTTACAGTACAGCCATGATAAATGAATAGTTGCATGACACAAATCTCACAACAAGAATACTTCACTGGCAGCAACACGGCTGAACCACCTTAAGCATGCTGTGCAAGAGTATATATCAGCTACGCTCAGCACAATGAGACAGTATCTCCTTCAGTTAGTCATCAACACTTTGTACACTTAACTGGACAAATACGCCATTTGCTACCCTGTGATGTGTCTCCTTCACTTCTAATTTCCAAACCGAAAAACGGCAGGAAACATCAAATTTGTCCAAAATTTTCCACCTAAAATTAGTTTTTAAATGATATGGTACAAAACAGCCATGCAGTTGTAGAGTCATGCCTCATTTTACATTTAAAAACCCCGTTTTAACAACTGTTAAGTTTCAGTGAGTGTGTGAATGCAGTGAGTTAATTTTTACCTAAAGATTTGCTGATTGGTCCAGTAATCACATGAATGAGCTGATTTTAATCTCTAGTCCTCCATCAGAAAACTCTCATGCCCGTGACATAAACTTCACATGGGAGAAACTGAATAAGACAGATGAAGTATAAAGAGACTCTTTCGTGTTTAGACACAGTGAATATTTAAGGACAGGGAACATGCACTGTCTGCTGCTCCTTGCACATCCACAACACAGTATTCAGTTAGATGATAACTCATATTCAAGTACACACAAACATACACAGCTGAAAACCTTCAAGTTGACTCTTCAGTTTTCACCCCTTTGAAATTTATTTTAAAAACATTTCCCCTGAGCTCAGATAATCCAAACATAATGTCACAGTAATAACAAAGTAATTATAAAGGAATGCAATGTCCTCACAGATCACAGTAAATTACACTGAAAGAGTTCACTTCGTAATCATAACCATTCTATTAAATTACGGTTTTGCGTATATTCAGACTTAATGCATTAATGCGATTTACTAGCAAAACAAACAAAAGCGCAGAAACAGTCACAATATGTGCCTGTTGTTGTTTCTACTGATCTTTATTAGCCTAGTCTGAAATCTATGAGACTATCAGGTCAGGTTTCTCTAGAGCTGTTGCAAAACAAACTGCATCCAGACACAAACCCATGCACACAAACACACCTCAACACATCATCCACATCAGTGAGTCTGAGTTTCGTGCTGTCTTCAACAGTAACGTGCTGAGAGTTGATGTGTGTCTTAGTTATTCAGGTTAATGTGTTTGCCTGTGGGGCATATTTCCATTCTAGTTCCCGTTGCACAGACATCCTGTCCCAAACTGCTGCACCATTATTGCTCACTCTCACTGACGTCTTTACAGCCAGACTGCTGGGAATGAACCTCATTCTGTGGCAACCGTTATACGAGTCCTCCTTAAAGCATTTGTACCACTGTCATGTATACCTGTGCTCTTGTTAAGTGTGACGTAACGTTCCACTTCCACGTTCAAAATCCCCCAGAGCCAAATAGCAGAGCCTGTCACCCTCTACACACTAACATCTCTTTTAGCAAGGCATCACTGAGAGTAAAAAAAAAAAACAGGACTCAATTCTTTCAGTTCAAATACAGCGGTCAGTGTAGCTGTTCTACCTGGTGGTATAATAACCAGATCTATTGAAACTATGGGCAACACAACACTGTGGTATATTGAACTGAGGAGAATGAACCAAAGTTTAGACATGGAAACGAAGTGTTAGGTCACTATTCTATAAACAGAATGCACAGTGTCGCACAATATGTCCTACTTAATATAATGAAACATAAAATCATATGTCTTTGATTGAAGCATAGCAAACATTTTACATGGATCTCTTTCTGAGAAGGACAAAATAAACGGAGAGCAAACAATAAAGCAATGGAACTGAATTGGATAAATCTACAGCCAAAAAAAAAAACCCAGCATAGATCTGTGGACAGAAGAGGTACAGTATATGTTGAAAGAGAAAATAACAGAAAAACAAGTCATTCATCTGTAGCTCGGGTACCTGCAGATGAGCGTTTCATGGTAAGGTTTGCTGCTGGCACTGCGGTCCCTTCGGACGGGCCCGGGCTCAATGGTGGGCAGGCCTGTGGCGGAGGTGGTGGTGGTCCACGTGGAAGAGAGCCTCCTTAAAAGACTAGGGTGAAGACTTCGCCTCAGGCGCTGCAATCACACACATAAACAGTACTGGAAAAACGTCTCATCGCTCCTTTAGGAACTATTCAAATCTTCACCCAAGATTCACTGCAACAGTCAAAAAGCACAACCATAACTGCGCTTGGATTTAGATAAAAGCTCTACAAGTATTCCCACCTGTAAGATGATATAAAGGCTTATTTGTTTTGTCTCCAGTCAAATGGATCATCTAGATGAGGCGGTTGTTTTTCCTGCATCGGCCCAAGCTGAAACTAACGATATAGGTGATACAACCAGAAAAATTTAAATGACTGGAGGCTTTTCTTTAGTTTTTCTTCACTGGATTCAAAGAGAATCAACATTGTGGTCGTCGGTGAATTGAGGATACCGGCAGGCAGCTGCTCCAGTAATGCTCCACATGGTTCATTATTAGATGTAACGTCAGTATTGCATTGCACAGATACAGGGAGTCTGTCTTTCTGCTTCTCATTTTCTCTGTCAGTCTCTGTTGTTTCATTCTGCTTTCGTTTCTCTGCTCTTTCTCTGGGATTCTCAGTGGTGTTAGGTATTTTTAGTCAGATAGATATTGGATAGATACTTTATGTATTAGAAATGTTTAGTGGAGATAGGATGTCTAGTTAGACTGTTAAATGCTTAGTCATGCTTATGAGTTTCTACAGGGTACATCTGGTCAAGGATAACTAGAGAGAAGAGTTGATGACTGTCAGCAGACAGGGTGTTTAATATTATTATTATGACGTGTATAACTGTAGCCTTAGCCATAATATGTTCTTATGTTTAAGACACGACATGTTACTAGAGGTCGTGTGAGAATGTTTTTAGCTCATTCACTGTTGAGCTGTGTTGCCGTGTCCCACATCAACTAGGTCGACCAGAAACAGGTGAGCCAGGAACCTTTGTTTAAACATAAACTCCTGCACACTGAACTTATGCCAAATTGAAGTTGATGTGTGGAACTGCCCACTCTCAACGTTTTAAATTGGATTCAAAACAGTAAGGATAATAAAACACTTTTCTTTTGTGTGTTTGAATGATGTGCTGATTTGTTCTCTGTCACATGTAACAGTTAACAAGCACATAGACTCATTTGAGGGGAAGTAAATGAGTGCCGTTGATCACAGAATTTGATACCAATAAGGGACGTAAAATTCACGTTTTATAAGTGAATTTTTGCTACATAGTAGCAGTTGTCTCCTCAAATTTCCCATTTCCTTTTTAATTTTTTGTAGTGCTTGTTTTACTCTGGGTTCTATTTTGTTCTCAGTTAAAAATGTACAGGCTTTCACTCCCTCTCTAGCTCTCACTGCAGATAGAGAGGCTTGCTTTCTTTCTCTGGTTAGTTTTATCCAAATTCAGAGATAGTATATTACTGTCACACCATTTCTTTATCTTCTCAAGTTCCTGTGTAACCTGTCCAGAGAGTTGCTTTGGAACACTAAATACAAAACATGTTCTAAACAACATGGCACCAGCTGTGTTCAGGGAAACATTTAGTTTTACAGCACCATACACACCTCTGGTGTGTGTATGTG